TCTGTCCTTCCATTGTGGTTACTTGTGACACAAGGCATCTTTCCCAATGATTACAAGGTTTGGGAGAGTTCAGACTGTTCCATACATACTTCTGTCTCTCCTAGCACCCATCACAGTGCCTGTCACACAGGAGATATTAAATAAAGGTTTGTTGAATAAGTTCTCTTTGTTTATAACATTTAAAAACCAAATCTCAAGGACACAGTTTCATATTTTTACATTTAAATCAGTTAAAACTGTTTTCAGTAAAGTGCTTTGCACATAGTAGGGCCTTGATTTTAAAAATTCATATAAAATCATTTGAAACACAAATGCATTTTTCAATTCTACCCCATTTTTACTCCCCAACCCACTGGTTACCACTGAGTTTAGTGCCTTTCCTTCCTGTATTTTTTAAATGCCGTCACATAAATAGGTAGCTGCACACAGACATGTTTTTATCCACATGGAGTCAGGCGTGTATTGTTCTGCTAGTGGCCTCGGGGCCCCACCCCCACCCCACCCTCCAGACTCTGTCAGTCGTTACAGCTCTAGCTCATTCTTTTACAGTTGCTTGGCATTAGGCATCAAGTGGATGAACCATAATTTACTGAACAACACCCCTGATAATGGGCACTTAGAGTTGTCTCCAACTTTTATTTTACTATAACAAACATTATGTCAATGAACACCTTGCATTATGTCAATCTGTCCATTATGGCAATGAACACCATACATGTTAGCACACAGGCAGTATTTCCATGGAAAAAATTCTTTGAAGAGTATATTATTTTTTGGTGCATGCTGCCATATTTCCTTCTAAGAAGTCTTTATCAATGAACACTCCCACCCAGTCTAGCCCTTGTCCTTATGTCTCTCCCAGACTGACAGTGAGAATGAGGCAGCTCAGGGCTAGGCCAAAATAGACTCAGGCTCTCCCCAGACTCAATATTCAAAGATAAAACAGTTTAGGATTTAGGCCTCTGAGAGGCTCAGACCTGCGCTTTAGTGCCATTTAATCTAATCATTGTAGATTAAATGGGAGAACCTGATTGGCATTTATAACATTGTTTCTAGGGAATAAATGTTATGGTTCTTATAAACTTAAAAACAAGCTTTTGAATCATAACACTTGTTAAACTCCGGCATATATCAGGGGTGCAGAAGGTACCCAGGAGATGAAATGATTTCTGCCCTCAAGGAACTCATTATGATCAAGGAGACAGTAATCAAAAGGCCAAGCACTAGACCTACCCACACACTCACGCATTTGAGACGTTCAACTTTTAAAATTGTGTAAAACATATATAATAAAATTTATCATTTTAACCATTAAAAAAGAAGGTAGTAATTAATATTAATTTTGTGAGGTGTGCTTATGATTATATTAAAAATGCTCATAAACTACCAAGTTTACTATAGACAATGTTAATTTGCCCATAATTTGTATGACTAATTAATTCAGCTTCCTCAACATTTTTTCAAATCACAACTTCTATTAAAGGTATTTTTATCTAAAACCAGGTAAAAGTCAAAATCCTCACAAAAGGACACAAGGTTTTATCCAATCTGGCCTCCTCTCCCTCCCTCTTCTGGGCCAGACTCCCCCTGTCCCATTCCTCTCCCGCAACCCTGGTTCTCTATGCAATTCTTGAAACAAGCCTGACCACTGCGGTCTGAAGTCTTAGGGCCTTGGCCCTGGCGAGTCATTTTAAAATTGCAACTGCCTCCTTACCCCATTTTCCCTGCTCCATTTTCTATAGCACTTACCACTTTCTAATATACTGTACTTCTAATGACTTACTATGTTTATTTTTTATCATTTTTCTTTATTTTCACCACCCCCACAAGGGCAGAGATTTTTAATATTTTGTTCATTACCTAGTAAATATTTGTAGAATAAAGGCAACCATTTCCTGAGGTAGTACTTTCAATCTCGAAACTAAATTTATAGCACCACCTAGTGTTCTTGGAAAGATGTGCTAATTAACCCTGAGATTTATTTGCATTAGCCATGGTTTAATCAAATTCTCCCTATTGTGGTTTTTTTTACTGATCTCTGTAAAAATTAAAATGTTTTCAATGATTAAACAGTGTGAAACATACTGACTTCTCTAAGGGCCACCTCTTCTCCACTGACTTGCCCCAGAATTCTAGTGGGGGTAGGAGAGCAATTAAATCTCATGTCTTTTACCTTAGGGCATAGCCCCTTCCCCACTGCCAAAACCCAAAAACCAGGAGAGTAGCCTTTGCTGTCGTGGTACCTACAACCAGTCTCCAGAATATCAAAATACATATTTATTGATTTTTAAATTTTTGTTTTAGCCATAAAAATCCCTAAGTCAAAGTGATAAAACACTAGCAAGGGTAATGGTAATGTTATTTAAAATACTATCAGGGTTCTCTAAAAGAATTAGTACAGTCTTCTAACTTAGAAAATATTGGTTTCTTCAGATATATAAAAAAAAAGGGAAAAATGAAGAAAACGAAGCTGCCTTAAAAGCATTAAAATATTTAATATTTAAGATTAGATAATGACAATGGGCTAATTTTTATTGAATGCTTATTGTGCTTAGCACTATTCTGAAAACTTCTTAATCATCTTCACAACCTTATAATGTAGCTTCTCTAGACCAGGTCCCATTTTTCAGATGACACAATGGAGACAAATTACAGAATTAGTAAAGAGTAGAGCCAGGATTCAAAGACAGCTAGGCCGGCTCCACTGCCCATGTCCATGAGCTCAGGCCCAGGCTTTTATTCCACCTCTCCACAGAAATGAGAAGGACTCTGCTTTGTTTCAAAGTTCTTGGCCTGGCCAAAGAAATAAACTTAGTAATGTCGTCTTCTCCCAAAAAAGAATCAAGGCAATCATGAAAGAAACAGAAGCATATACAATTATTCTAGGAATAAAGTTTTATTCCTTTTACAGTCAAGAAAGTAGAAGCTACAGAATTTGCCTTGCATTTTAAGGATGCTGTGGCAAAGAGCAAAAGCAATATCAACATCAAGGTCAAAAGCAGAGGATGGTTTTCAGCAGCACAATGAAGAATCTGTTGGTTCTTGTTGCCCATCCACCTCTTTTTGAAATCTCCTCAGGACTTTTGATTCTACCCTCAAATTGCCCAAAGCTTCCCCCTAGTTGACCACTGGTTCTGTTTTAAAGTGGATGGAAGGAAGTGACTCAGTTTTCTAAATTACCAATTAATATGCTCATTTCTTGAATTTGGTTCATCTCAGCTGTATGTTAAGAAAACAACTGAGCTCCAGTTGGGTAGCTCAGTTGGTCAGATCCAATATGCCAAGATTGTGGGTTCCAACCCCGGTCAGGGCACATACAAGAATCAACCAATGAATGCATAAATAAGTGGAACTATAAATCAATGTTTCTCTTTCTCTCTCTCTCAAGTCAATAAATAAAAATTTTAAGAAAATAATTGAATTATCTGTTAAAGTGAGTCCATTAAAAAGTGATTTAATAGGTAACATTCAGAATTACTTATATTATACATTATACTTTTAAAAGGAGTATGAATTCCTCAGAATTTCAGATTTATTGGGTCTTTCAGGGGATATTTGTGAGCAGGAGGCTTCCCATACTCTCCAGGTGATTCTGGAAACGAGCTCCTCCCGCCATTCTCAGCTGGAACCTAGACCCCCTTTCCTAAATGTTTACTTGACTCTTTAAATTTTCTAAAATACAGGGCCATTGCCCGGCTGGTGTGGCTCAGTGGTTGAACATCGACCTATGATCTAGGAGATGGCGGTTTGATTCCCTGTCAGGGCACATGCCTGGTTTTGGGCTCGATCCCCAGAAAGAGGCAGCTGATCAATGAATCTCTCTATTTCTCTCTCTCTCTCTCTGAAATCAATAAAGATATATTTAAAAAAATACAAGGTTATTTTGGGAAGGAAAACGGCTCTTCTCCATTTCAGAGAGGGTTTTTCGGATAGGGTATTTGCTTTGACTCACCTGGGGTGACTCCCACCCCACTTCTGACCTCTGGCATCAGAATCTTCCAGCTGTGCTAAGAAATCTGTATTCTAACAACCTTCCCTAGATGAGTTGTATGACCTAGGGGGATAATTTTGAGAAGTAAAGCATCAGCTCATTTGTGTTGTTGGATTCTTTCCTATTATAGACCACAGAGGAGAACTTCAAGGAGTATCATGTAAAAACCCAATTATAAGATCAAATATAATTTAAGAAGACTAATAATTAACAAATCTATTTACAGGATTGTATGTCCTTTTATTGTAAATTATATGTGTGAAACATCTCAAAGAATTCTTTGGTGAATGTTGTTTAATCCTGCCTTGCCTTCCATAAAATTAACCAGCTGGCCAACATTTTTACTATGCTACCCACATGTGAGTCTCCAGTAACCCCTGAGGCATTCTCTCTGAACAAGCCTCATTTCCTGTATAAAAGGAACTGAGTTTGGTCAACTGTACAGAATTTAGGTTGATTAAACTTGAATTGGTTGTCAAAGGAGGCAGTAATTCTGCAGCTTTAGAGATGTTTTAAAATAGAAAACACAGTCATCCTTTTGGATGAGAAAAGTATACAGTAGCCTAAAGATACAGAATGCAAATAAAAGGCCTTTTAAAATTCTTTCTAGCTTTGTAATTGGACTAAACTGCCTCTCTACACAATTGAACGTCAACTTGTTTTTGTCTGTTTCAGTTTTTAATCAGCAGAGCCTGGTAAGAATTCCTTGCGCCTCCCTGATAATATAACAGCCTCTTGAGAATCCATTACAAAAATACAGCTTAGAAGCACATGACATACAAAGGTGGAAACCATTTAACTTGACAACGCCCCACCCAGATAATTCAGATACTTAATAGAATTCTTCACCGAAATTATTTGGTTTGGCCAAGCAACATCATAGAATCACTCTTCTTTTCTTACACTTTGTTTTCACTTGTCCCTTACTCCTGATTCTTGCCAATGGCCACCACCTTTCTTTTCCTTCACTTATAATCTAAAGCACAGTTCAACCAAGGACTTCACTTACCTCGAAAGTCTTCGTCCTTTAGAGCCGGGTCGCATGCTGCTGTGCTGCCGGAGTGAAACAGAAACATCGGACAGACTTGGGTCGCTGGGACCTGTGGATGCTGTGGGTACATGGGAGCAGCTGGGAACCAGCAACACTGGGAAAGAACTGGCTCCCAAACGCCTTTCAAAAACCAAAGATCCTCCCAGAGGGTGACCAGTTGATAAACAATCTAGAGAGAGTTTTCATTGAACGTTTATAACGCCAAGGATAATTCTGTGAAACTACTGCAAGTCTGCCTTGCAGAGCATTTAAAACCCTAGTCTATCCTTATGCAAGAGATCTCAGGAAAATCCAGCGTTAGTTGGAAATACGTAACGTCCGTTCCTGTCACTGTATCTCGATTTGTTCCGAGGTATCTGTGGAAACCAATATTCTTGACTCAACACTTCTTGAATAAAAAAATGCGTTGGACTGGTGGGATGAACAGGTTCGATTTTTAGAGACACGGTGATTTGCCATTTTGTCTGTAACGAAAGCTTCTAACTCTACAGAGAAATAACCGAGGCGGAGTGAGGCTGCGAAAGGCGACAGAGGCAGCAGCTCTGGTCCGCATCAAGCTCCGGCGGCAGCGCCTCACTTTTCTCTGCCGTAAAATTAGAGGCTGAAAAAGCTACTTTAAAAATTTCTCCCAAAACTTTTCCACCAAATAGAAATGCTAATTGGTTACCAACATAGTGTATTCCGATTTTTAAAAGGTGTTTTCATTTGTGATTTAAAAGAAATATGGAAGTCTAAACTGTGGCTTGTCAGTCCTTCAACACCAGGTAAGAAGTGATGATTTGGCAGCAAAGTCACATGTTTTAAGCTTAATAGACTGATATCCAAGTGTCCAGAGAAGTGATTTCGAGTCTACGGCCCACGAATTTCCACGAGCCGGCAGAGCCCGGTTAGACGCAACCCGGGGCCGCAGACCTGAGCAGCCGGCACCGTTTTGCTGGCGGGGGCACGCTGGGCGCTCCAGGGGGCTTGGGAAGGTGCTAACTTGAGAAACTAAAAAAGGCAACAGCAGTAGGGACTCTCCCACCGTCTCTGACGAAAAATGTTGAGGGAGAACTAAAACCGGCCCAAATTCCCCAATGTGGTCCTCACTCGAGGCTCTGGTTCCCGGAGACGCACGCGGCGCTGGGAGACGGTCCGCTACGAGTCACACGCAGGCGCGCGCGCGCACGGTAGGTGCCCGCGGAAGCTGGACGCGCCGCCTCCGCCGCCAGGGAGGCCCGCGCTCGCCGCTGAGACCCGGGATGCGAAGGAACCACCCGGCCAGCCCCGCCTCACTGACAGGCGTCGCCACGAGCCAATGAGCGCGCTGGGAGGCGGGGCAGGGAGGCCGAAGGGGCGGGATTTCCCGCCGGACCGCCGGGCTCCTGGCGAGGGCGGCGGGGTGGGGACTGCTGCGGAGCCTGCGAGAGAGGGTGGGTCGGAGTCAGCTGCCGTGG